ATTTGCGTGTGTCAAGTATATCTTTAACTACTGCTCTGGCCTCATCTAAAGGTATGTTTGTATATAGGGCTTCAATATCTAAGGTCATGAGTATGGCTTGCTCAGGTATAGTTAGGGCTTCTATTATATTGATAAAATGTTTGGTGTCTTTGATAAATGATGTATTTAAAGGTACAAAGGGTTGCAAAAAATGGTCAATAAACTGAGCTAAAGGTTCCAAAATAGATGCAGTGCCTGAAACGATAGGTCTACCTGGTGGAGGAAAGGTTCTTTTATGAATCTTCGGGAGAACATAAAATACCGGTGTTCTGGGGTATGGATTCTGAAGGAACTCATATGTCTGTAATGAAATATATCCCAGTGAGAGACCTTCAGCACATACTGTGCGTATAAGGGATCTAAATTTATTAATGGGATCCTTAGGAATACATTTATAGAACATGTTATTAGAGAGATGTCTTTCCACTTCCTTAACATAGTCAATTCTATTCAGTAGTACCACTGCCCCTCCCTTATCAGCTGGTTTCCAAATATATTGTGGCATGTTTGCTAGTCTTTTAATGGTAGACCTTGTTGCCCAAGAAGAATTCCTTGAGACTGTCTTGCCAAAAGAAGAATTTTTGAAGATAAAGATAGAGACTCTGGAATTCCTTCACTGAAAGGATGGACTTTATTACCTTTAGTCTGTTGTTGATTTCTCTATGTTAATGTGCTGATAACATTTTTGTTTAATGCTATAAAGCCTCAGACAAGTTATGCCAATAGAGAACATAGAATACTGTTATATATTACTTTCTTGAGAGTCTGTCAAGATTTACATACATACATTTTTGTTCTATGTCATTTGAGATACTTGTGCATTGTTTGCTTATTGGCCATTATTATGGCTGACGGCCGGGGTACCTTAAGTTTTGATGACACATTCATTTCTGATTTAATTAAGAACAGATCTATTCTAGATGACCAATCCCTAGCTCAGTCCGCACAACCCCCAAACACTTTAATGGAATACGAAAAGATTAAGAAAAAATTGATCCGATTGGACTTACACGCGTCTACTCTAGCTGATTATATTAAGAATAACATGATACCCAGGGGCCTCCGAGTGTACAAACCTCCGGGAATGTTCTTAGAAGATATTGAATTTGTTAATAATTGGAATTTGATTTTGAACAAATGTTCTAAGGATTTAATGGCACTCATCATCCAGAAAGCTAATTCCCTGACTGTGGAATATGAGGGTAAACTTACTACTCTAGCAGAGGACATAAACAAAGTAGAACAAAATCAGTCTCATTTACAAGAAATTGATAAGAAATGTAAAGACCTTTACTCACAAATTAAGGAATTTAAAATCAAAAAGTTTAATAGAGACAGAGCTGATTATGACAATAATAAGGTCTACAATTGGAAAACCCATTCCACTTCCTCTAGTACAGTGAAAAGGAGGGTTCGCTTTGAAACAGATTCTCTAGACCCTTATTCCACCACTGAAGAAGACCCAGGGAAATCTACGGACAGTTCCACTACTTCCACTAGTCCAATACTACCACGACGATCATATAGAATCAAATCTAAACCACCCACTCACCATTTTCAGAGGGGTTCATACAGAAAAGCTCCTCCCTAGTGGTAAATCTTTCTAACTACCCTCTCTCACCACAAGAGGAAGAGTTAATTAATAAGGGACTAAGTTTTGTTCCCACTCCCAGATACAGTCCTTTCCACACCAGGGTTGAACTTTTTAAGTTATTTAGAACTATTCGATTAAAACACTTTTTTGGCAATAAGATAGATTCCAAGCCTGAAACCTTGTTCAAACCTAAAAACAAATTCTACCCTAACACTGATAATATGATGATAAAAACATTTGAAAAAGTTGTGGAACGGGACGTCAGCAGACTAACCAAATCTAGGTCCAAAACCTTTCCGAATATGTCTATGACTGAATTGAATACCATTAAAAGACTAGCAAACATGCCACAATATATTTGGAAACCAGCTGATAAGGGAGGGGCGGTGGTACTACTGAATAGAATTGACTATGTTAAGGAAGTGGAAAGACATCTCTCTAATAACATGTTCTATAAATGTATTCCTAAGGATCCCATTAATAAATTTAGATCCCTTATACGCACAGTATGTGCTGAAGGTCTCTCACTGGGATATATTTCATTACAGACATATGAGTTCCTTCAGAATCCATACCCCCAGAACACCGGTATTTTATGTTCTCCCGAAGATTCACAAAAGAACCTTTCCTCCACCAGGTAGACCTATCGTTTCAGGCACTGCATCTATTTTGGAACCTTTAGCTCAGTTTATTGACCATTTTTTGCAACCTTTGTACCATTAAATACATCATTTATCAAAGACACCAAACATTTCATCAATATAATAGAAGCCCTAACTATACCTGAGCAAGCCATACTCATGACCTTAGATATTGAAGCCCTATATACAAACATACCTTTAGATGAGGCCAGAGCAGTAGTTAAAGACATACTTGACACACGCAAATCCCCAGTTCCTCCTACTCACTTCCTCATGGATTTACTAGACATTGTGCTAGAATACAACTATTTTAGTTTTGATAAACAATTTTATTTACAAACATTCGGAATCGCTATGGTTAGCCCACTCGCACCCGCTATAGCCAACTTATTCGTTGCATACTTAGAAAATAAATTCATCTTTAATACCACTCTGAATCCATTTTCTTCAGATATCCTTTATTTTGGAAGGTATCTAGATGATATATTTACAGTAGTGAGATCACAGTCAGTAGCTGACCTATTCTACAGCTGGATTAATACACTACACAAACACATGAAATTTACACACCACTGTAGTCCTACTAATGTTAACTTTCTGGACGTCATGGTTTTCAAAAATGGTCAGAAACTATTAGTGAAAAATTACAGTAAACCTACAGATAAGAATTCTTTTTTACATTTTTCCAGCTTTCATCACTTTTCTCTTAAATCCAATTTACCATTTTCTCAGTTTTTAAGACTGAAACGTAATTCTAGCACACAAAAGGACTTTGAATCTACGGCAGGTATCCTGAAAAAACAACTCAGAGAGAGAGGATACCCTAATAGGATACTCAACACAGCCATGAACAAGGCAAACTCCATCAACAGAGGTGAATTACTACAGGAACGCCCTAGAAAACATAACAACCGCATAATATGGCCTTTGACATTGACACAATATTCATCCAAAATCACTAAGATTATTTCAAAGCACTGGCATTTACTACAGGACATTCCTGGATGCAAAGATAAACCTATAATTGCCCACAAAAGATCCAGAAATTTAAGGGACCTCATGATCCACTCTGAATATAACTCTTCTAATACATCTCATGAACCTACCACTAGGGGTCACACTAGCTGTGGACATTGTAACTGCTGCCAGCAATCACTTAAGAGTAAAATATACTCTCATCCAACACTCAACATTAATGTCACATTACAACATTTGACAACATGTTCCAGTGATAATGTAGTATATCTGTTAGAATGCCCCTGCAAACTACTATATGTTGGAATAACCACTAGACCCCTTAAAATTAGGATAAATGAACATTGTTCACGCATTAGGAATGGGTCCACTGACTCTTCACTATATGTACATTTTAATGAAAAAGCACATACACACCATAGCTTTAAATTTTGCGCCTTGGAAAAAATATTACTCAGACCAAATGCAGATGTAAAAAAACTCCTTCTGCAAAGGGAATCTTTTTGGATCTTTAAACTACAAACACTGGTTCCTCTAGGACTAAATGACAAAATTGAATACACTTGTTTCTTGTGAGATGTAATTCTACTTAAGAGACAGCCTAGCCATGACTCATTGCTCGTTATAGAACTCCTACTACAACAGAGCCTGTATTACTGAAGAGAATGTAAGTAGAGTAGCGTGTCTCTTTAATGTTATTACAAAATGTTTTTCTATCTATGTTATTTTGGGGAGTTTCATGTATCTATTATGTATGTTATTTCTACTCCTTATATAGTGCACTAAGCATAATATAATAACAGACTACACCCTGAGGAAGATATTTGTTCGAAACAAGAATAACATTCCGGAAGACCTTGTAGAGATTTGGTTGCCTAAGAAAGACCTTGTTGCCCAAGAAGAATTCCTTGAGACTGTCTTGCCAAAAGAAGAACATTTTTGAAGACAAAGATAGAGACCTTTGAATTCCTTCACTGAAAGGATGGACTCTATTACCTTTAGTCTGTTGCTTATTTCTCTATGTTAATGTGCTGATAACAGTTTTGTTTAATGCTATAAAGTCTCAGACAAGTTATGTCAATAGAGAATATAGAATACTGTTATATATTATTTTCTTGAGAGTCTGTCAAGATTTACATACATACATTTTTGTTCTATGTCATTTGAGGAAACGCTTTGCAACCTTAGACCTTGCTGCGCTGACCATATTGTTAGAAGTCTTCCTTTGCAAAGATTGGGTGACACTCTTAAAACACTGCAGTGCAAACAATCTCATGCAGGGAATCTTGGGCCATTCTCCCCTCTTTGCAGGGCTTGCTATTTGTTGGGCAAGTGTTAAAGGACTTCTCAGCAGGCAAAGGCTCTTCTCAATAGGACCGCTCTTTCCCCCTTCTTCTCTGGCATTGGCTACAGCACCAAGCTATTGGTCTTGTTGTTCAATGAGATATTTCTGTGCTCTGCTCCTGATAAGTTTTTCCTCTTATTTCTCTGGCAGGTAACCTCTGAAGGAACCTTGAGAGGAACACTTCCCTTTGTCTTAGTTCAGAAATGAAATTACACAGCACTCACAAGAAATTATTTGGAGAAAATATATTTCGAGCTCCATAGCTGTTTATTCAAGGAGGAAAGGGAGGATTGTGCTGTGAAAAGTGGGGCTTGGTAATTTATTTATTCAAATGGACTAGAGCAATACAAGGACTGAAAAGAGGAAATCAGGAGAACATATCCGTGACCTTCTGGCGTAATATTTGAATCATAAATGTAAAAGAATGGAGAATCTCAACTCCTTGTCAAAATCACACACAGGGGAGAAGCGACATAACTGTATGGAATGTGGGAAATGTTTCACTGCAAGAAGTTATCTTACTAAAGATCAGCGAACTCACACAGGAGAGAAGCCATACAAATGCATGGAATGTGGAAAGAGCTTCAGTCAGAGTGGGACTCTGCGTATCCATCAAAGGACTCACACAGGAGAGAAGCCATATATATGCGTGGAATGTGGAAAGAGCTTCAGTGATAGTGGGACTCTGCGTATCCATCAAAGGACTCACACAGGAGAGAAGCCGTATAAATGCATGGAATGTGGAAAGAGCTTCAGTGAAAGTGGAACTCTGCGTAGGCATCAAAGAACCCACACAGGGGAGAAGCCACATAAATGCATGGAATGTGGAAAGAGCTTCAGTCAGAATGACAGTCTGTGTATCCATCAAAGGACCCACACAGGAGAGAAGCCACATAAATGCATGGAATGTGGAAAGAGCTTTAGTGAGAGTGGACATCTGCGCATCCATCAAAGGACTCACACAGGAGAGAAGCCGTATAAATGCGTGGAATGTGGAAAGAGCTTTAGTCGGAGTGGACATCTGCGTAGCCATCAAAGGACCCACACAAGGGAAAATGCATTAGAGATCAAAGAGCTCACACACAGCTAGAGGAGACCTACCTTTATGTTTCCTAGGGTCCCAGGTAGACAAGAAATTAGGACGATGGACAGAAAAAGGAAGGCTACCAACTTGCTCTCTATCTGTCATGTGCAGAAGTTTGTGTGGTCTGGTTGACTGATTTTGTGTTCAGGACTCCCACAGAGGAGGATTTTTCTCTGTGTTGCAGCCAGTTTGGAAGGGGTTGACCTGACCTTTTCCTCCGCAAGAAAAGCATTGCAGGCTTCTGGGATGATCTGAGAAGGCTTTCTGAAATGAGCAGCAGCTGAGATCTCATGACAAAAGGGTTCTGGAAAGGAACAGTTCCTTTTTAGTAGATAACATTGTGCATCTTGCCCTGGATCTAGGCTCTGCTCCCCTCAGATCTAATTCTGGACTCTGGTCTTGTTCCTATTACCCTGTTCTGGACTCAATTGATTGGTGGACTTCAAATTCTGGACTGACTAGTCGTCTTGATTTATGGACTTATACTTCAGTTTGTCTCTGCCTCTATGGCTTGAATTTGGAATTCTGACTTCGGTTTGTAGTCTCGCATTCTTGGTAGTTATGTTACTAACTGTAGTGAATGGATTCCTGACATCTGACTATTGGACTGCGACCTTGGCAAATATTTGTATATTTGTAAATTATGTGGTCATAGTTTTAATTGTAAGCCGCTTTTGGTCTCCTTCGGGAGAGATACAGTGGGGGGTAAATAAAGATAGTAATAGTAATAATAATAATAATAATAATAATAATAATAATAATAATAATGCCTGCTTAGAGTAAATCTCCTGTAATAACAACAACTACAACTTCTTTATTTTTATCTCACCCTATCTCTCCGAGGGGACTCAAAGGCAGTTTACAACAGGAAGATTGGCAACCAGTCAATGCCAAGAAGATATAACAAAACAAATCTAATTATAAACAGTTAATAAATAACATCAAAATATAATTATAAAATAACCAAAGAAATATGAAATAACCCAAACTAACAAGATTAAAATTTATACAACATAACATTTAAGACACATTTAATGAATAAATCAAATAATATTGAGGAATTGAATATAAAAGGTGTAAGCTGATTAGCGGCAAGTCAGCAGGGCTGGGTAGAATTCCATTATCAGAATAGATTTAATAAAGTGCTAATAAGCTAGAGTACATAAACAAGTTTTAAAAGCTTCTTGAAGGAGAGGAGGGAAGGGGGCATTTTTAATTCTTTCAGGAGGGAGTTCCAGAGGTGGGGAGTGGCCACGGAGATGACTCCTCTCTCGTTCCCATCAGCTGCACTTGAGACCGGTTGGACCGAGAGAAGGACCTCCTCCGCGAACCGCAGCACCCATGTGTCTTTGGGTTCGGAGATGCGGTTTTATAGATAGTCTGGTCCCAAACTGTTTAGGGCTTTGACCAGCACTTTGTATTTAGCCCAGAAGTAGGTTGGCAGCCAGTGGAGCTGCCGTAACATAGGAGTTGTCCGTTCCCTGTACAGTGCTCCAGTTAGTAGCCTGCTGACCAATCTTTGAACCAATTGCACCTTCCGAACTATTTTCAAAGGCAGCCCCACATTGAGTGTTGCAGTAATTCAGACGGGATGTAACTAAGATGTGTCCTACCTTGGCCAAATCTGGCGTCTGAAGGGATGGGTGCAGCTGGCACAAAAGTTTTAATTGTGCGAAGGCTCTCCTGGCCACCCCAACACCTGGGGTTTCCAGGATCACCCCCAGGCTGCAAACCGTGTCTTCAGGGGGAGTGTGACCCCATCCAGCACAGGCTGTAATCCCACACCCTGATCCGCCTCCCAACTGACCAGGAGTACCTCCGTTTTGTCTGGATTTACTCTCAACTTGTTAGCCCTCACCCAGTCCATCAGTGATGGCAGGCACTGGTTTAGGGGTAGGATGGCATCCTTGGCTTTGGGTGGAAAGGAGGAATGGAGTTGGGTGTCGTAGCATCTGGATGATCTCTCCCAGCAGTTTCATGTAAGTGTTAATCAGCATGGGGGTATAAAGCTGAACCCTGAGGGACTCCACTGGCCAGGGAGTTGAACAGGAGTCCCCCAGCACCACCATCTGGGTCTGATCTTCCAGGAAGGACTGAAGCCACTGTCAAACAGTGTCTCCAAGCCCCATCCCGGAGCGCCAGCCGAGAAGGATATCATGGTATTTTTAAAATACCAGGGGAGAGTGAGGGATATTGGGGGGGGGATATAGGGGCCCAAGAGGGGAAAGATATACGTAACTGTTGCAGTAGACAGCAGCCTGTCTGTTGGGGCGCAAATGAGGTGGAAGAACGACGCCAGGCTAGAGAAGAGTTCCAAGTTCAAAACTTTCCTGTTCCAATGGAAAAGGGTGGGAAACCTCAGCCCACAGCTGAATCAAGGGGGCACATATGTATATACAATTGCTTATATAACTTGTTGACATTAATCAATTATTAATACATAGGAAGACATCTTAATCATCTTGATAACCATCTGGAAAGTCAGCGTGTTCAGGTCAGATTCTAATATCCCCTGTGACCGTATGCTGGCCAGCAGATCTGACGTATCCCGGGTTAAGTGATTCCTTCTTCATCTTTCTAAAGAGCCATACCTTCTATGTAGCTTCTATTGTAATTACGTTAAGACACCAGGTGGTGTTCCAATGTGACAGGTGCTATTCTGACCTTCGTTGGGGTCATAGGGCAGATCATGTTTATTGCCTTTTTAAAACCATCTCTTTAAAACCAAAACTTTGTCATAACTTACTTTCTCAATATGAAATGTTTTTCCCCCCAAAAAAACATAAATTGCCTGCTATTTACACGAAGTGGTTGGAAGATGAAGCTCTCTCACTGTATAAACATAGATGTTCTAAGTTATATTGACAAAGTTGAATCGATAAATCGATCTCTCAAGTTTGTAAGTTTACTTTGCCCGGCCAATCTGACCTATGTGTTCTATAGATACAAGCAGTTCAAACAGAACTTTTGTACCAAAGGGAGAAGTCAAAACATACTATTCTATTGAAATCGTGAGGGAGAAACACTTTCAAGAAAAATCTGGTATTTTAAAATGTTTATATTTTAATTTTAATATTGTAATATTAATATATTTTTAAACTGCCCCCATATAACAATAACAAAGAGAAAGAAAAAAAGAAACGCAGTAAACGCACACGCTTTGACTTCCATTATTCTTCTTGGCGGTATTCTATATTTTGCTACGTTTCCTCCCTTCACTAATCTAGGGGATTTTTCTTGAAAGCCCCCCCCCCCCCCGGCCTTCATCTAGATACTGTTTTCTCTCTTACTGCTATTTCTTAACTTATATATTGCATTTGAATGTTTAATTTTTTTTCAATGTACTCTTTCAATATTTTCCAGTCCAATTGTTTCAGTGGTCTCCCTGTATTCTTCCTCAAAAAGTATGTTAGTTTGTCAGAAAGTTTGTCTAGCCCAGTGGTTCTCAACCTGTGGGTCCCTCCCCAGATGCTTTGGCCTACAACTCCCAGAAATCCTAACCAGTTGACCAGCGGTCAGGATATCTGGGGGTTGAAGGCCAAAACCTCTGGGGAGGGACCCACAGGTTGAGAACCACTGGGCTAGCCATTGCTCTATTTGTGGGATCTGTTCTATTTTCCAATATTTTGCATATATTATGAAATTTCATTAATTTCGAATCGATTCGTTAATGGTGGACGCGATTGCGCAATATGCTAAAAAATCCTCCAAATGGGACAGGGGGGACTTCTGAAGCTTCCCTCTCCCTCTGTTGTTGACTGTTGGTGTGATAAAACAAACAACAACTATAAAACTTGCACCAGACATGCGAAAATAATTACGAAATAATTACGAAATAATAACAAAATATCTATCTAACTTTAGTTTAGTTTTAGTTTCTATCTAACTTTAGTTCCTTGTGTGTTATTCCTAATAAGAAATATTCTGGTTTCAGCAAAACCTTCCTTTTTAGAATCTTTTGGGCTTCTTCCTGTCTTGATCTCCAATACCTCGTGGCTTCTTTGCAAGTCCACCACATATGATAGAAACTTCCTATACGTGATTGGCACTTCCAGCCATTGCTCTGACGGTTTTTATACATTCAAGTAATTTTTTGGGGAGAGATATACCATCTATGGAATACCGTCATCCAGTTTTCTTTTAGGTACTATATGAATTTATTATTATTTATTTATTTACAGCTTTTCTATTCCGCCCTTCTCCTCACCCCACAGGGGACTCAGGGCGGATTACAGTGTACACATATATGGCAAACATTCAATGCCAATTTTGACATACAACATATACAGACATACACAGAGGCTGTTTAACTTTTTCTGGCCGCCCGGGGAGCTGTCGCTTTCATCGTCCATCTGCGACGCTGATGAAGCACTTCTGCATTCCCCGCATGCTTCCCCGCTGGAATCCTTTGCTGGAGTCTTCTTTATGGCCTCATAAATCAGTTAATTTAGCCTCCCCACACTTTTTAAGGTGGTACCTAATTTTCCTACTTGACAGATTGGTTGGAAACCCACTCCAACTCGGGCTGGCTTCGAACTCATGACCTTTTGGTCAGAGTGATCTTAATGCAGCTGACACTCAGCCAGCTGCTGGTGAATAGGTATATTTTAATTTTTTATCCAAATTTGCTGCCATTCCTGTATTTTTGTCTGCCAACATTTTTTGCCCAGTTTAGCATACAGTTTTTAATTCCTTCCGTCTCAGTTGCCCATTTTAGAAATTCATTGTATATTTTCGTGCCATTTTAATTTTCTGTTTGAATCGGTGGGTTCCAAAATTCCCCCTTGTTAAATCCAACGATTTTGTCCTGTTTATATATGTCCCTTATTTGTAGATATTAGAGCCACGTTAGGTTTTCATATACCTGGGCAAGTTCATCTTGCGGTTTTAAATCGAAGTTGTCATTGCACTTTGTCAGCAAATCCCTGAATGTCGGCCAGGTCCTCCATCCCAAAAGTCTCCTTTGTTTTATTATTATTTATTTATTTCATTTACTTATACCCCGCCCTTCTCACCCCGGGGGGGACTCAGGGCGGCTTACAGAGGAGGCATAATTAAATGCCTAAAACAATTGACAGTAATACAAAATACAAAAAGCAGTTCAACAATTCGAATTAAAACATCAGTGCATAATAAAATATTAAAACAATCTCATGCTCGGGTTCAGAGTCCATATATCCATTCCATTCTGTTTGTCCTTGTCTGTCGTCAGATCCTTAATTTAACTGCCAGCGTGTCCAAAGGCTTGGTCCCAAACCCAGGTCCTCCTGAAGGCAAGGAGGGATGTTGATGCCCTGATCTCCCCCGGGAGTGAGTTCCACAGGTGGGGGCCACCACTGAGAAGGCCCTGCTCCTCGTCCCCGCCAACCTCACTTGTGAGAGTGGCGGGGTCGAGAGCAGGGCCTCCCCAGAAGATCTTAAGCTTCGAGGTGGGATGTAGAGGGAGATCCGTTCGGACAAATACACTGGGCCGGAACCGTATAGGGTTTTGTAGGTCAAAACCAGCACTTTGAATTGTGCTCGGAATTGGATCGGCAGCCAGTGGAGCAGGCGCAACAGGGGGGTGGTATGCTCCCTGTACGCTGCTCCGGTGAGCAATCTGGCTGCTCCTCGCTGGACTAGTTGCAGTTTCCGAGCAGTCTTCAAAGGCAACCCCACGTAGAGTGCGTTGCAGTAATCCAACCAGGATGTGACAAGAGCGTGGACCACCGTGGCCAGATCAGACTTCCCAAGGTACGGGCGCAGCTGGTGCACAAGTTTTAATTGTGCGAAAGCTCTCCCGGCCACCGCTGAGACCTGGGGTTTTGCCTCTTATCGGGAGGAGTTTTTGTATTAAAAAAATATTTATCCCAGACTTTTATAAGGGATGATCTAATAAAATGATAACCTCCCCCCCCCCATTTTTGTTTTTCCGTACCAGATATATGAGTGCCAGCCCACTCTCAAGTCGAATCCTTCCAATGTCCATATATTTTCTTTAAAGTTACCCAGTCTTTTACCCACATTAATGCACACGCTTCAAAATAGCATTTTAAATCGTGGAGGCCAAAGCTGCCATTACAATAAAGAAAAACCAAACACAAACTGAAAACGCAAACAATAAACAATAACATAAAACAAACTAATACACAACAATATACGAATAACAATATGCACAGGCACAGTAACAATAGACGGGCTACATGTGATTAAAAGACAAAGTAATTAAAACTAATTAAAAACTCGGGCGAGATAAAAGAGAGAAGCTGGTAGTTTACGGAGGAGGGCTCATTTTAGCGGGAGTTGTGGAATCAAGCTTTCCCACGAGGAGGAGGGAACGTCTACGCCAATGACAAAGCTCTGAGGTCGAGCAATCACGTGGGGTTATATTCCTACCCATCAAAACCCTTCTTCCTCTGGTGGACTGAAATTATATATATATATATATGTGTGTGTGTGTGTGTGTGTGTGTGTTTATGTACATGATGTTCAATGAATTTATTTGCAGCAAATATACATACACACACAAAACGAAGGGAAGCAGAGAGGAGAAAAGAGAAGAAGAAAAGGGTTCTATAGAATCATAGAATCAAAGAGTTGGAAGAGACCTCATGGGCCATCCAGTCCAACCCCCTGCCAAGAAGCAGGAATACTGCATTCAAATCACCCTGACAGATGGCCATCCAGCCTCTGTTTAAAAGCTTCCAAAGAAGGAGCCTCCACCACACTCCGGGGCAGAGAGTTCCACTGCTGAACGGCTCTCACAGTCAGGAAGTTCTTCCTCTGTTCAGATGGAATCTCCTTTCTTGTAGTTTGAAGCCATTGTTCCGCGTCCTAGTCTCCAGGGAAGCAGAAAACAAGCTTGCTCCCTCCTCCCTGTGACTTCCTCTCACATATTTATACATGGCTATCATATCCCCTCTCAGCCTTCTCTTCTTCAGGCTAAACATGCCCAGCTCCTTAAGCCGCTCCTCATAGGGCTTGTTCTCCAGACTTTTTATCATTTTAGTCGCTCTCCTCTGGACACATTCCAGCTTGTCAATATCTCTCTTGAATTGTGGTGCCCAGAATTGGACACAATATTCCAGGTGTGGTCTAACCAAAGCAGAATAGAGGGGTAGAATGACTTCCCTAGATCTAGACACTATGCTCCTATTGATGCAGGCCAAAATCCCATTGGCTTCTTTTGCCGCCACATCACATTGTTGGCTCATGTTTAACTTGTTGTCCACGAGGACTCCAAGATCTTTTTCACACGTACTGCTCTCGAGCCAGGCATCACCCATTCTGTATCTTTGCATTTCATTTTTCCTGCCAAAGTGGAGTATCGTGCATTTGTCACTGTTGAACTTCATTTTGTTAATTTTGGCCCATCTGTCTAATCTGTCAAGATCGTTTTGAATCCTGCTCCTGCTCCTCTCTCTCTATCTAATTTCAGTCCACCAGAGGAATGCCTGGAGTGAGGCTGAAACCGGTTGTGGGCTGCGGATTTATGTTTAACTCGACGCAAGAACACATGGCGTTGATACTTTTTCGAGTGACTGTACCAAACGCATATAACATTGTTTTGTGAATGCTATGATTTTGAACTGTATAATAAGTTTCACCAGTCACATTTTGGGCTGAACTGATTTTCCTTTTTGTGTACAAGTGGGCTATTGTATTGTACGTATTAACTCAGGAACCCGTTCGTATTGTTAGGTGCCTGGGTCGAAGGTGCCTGGGTCGATACCAAGGTCTCCCCACTGGACCTTCTCTGTCTGCCAGGCTTGTACAAGGAGTCACGGTGTCTCAAGTAGCCGGGAACAAAGCCTTTCTTCCTTCTATTATTGATGATATTTTTCTTTCCCCCCTTCCTTCTTTTCTTCTTTCTTTATGGATTAATTCCCTTCTTTTAAAAATATCAGTGACTGCCATTGTTGGTGTCTGTATATGTGCTTGAGAGCACATAGTATTTCCCAGGACTTGTGCTTTATGGGTTTTTTATTGTTTTATTGCTTTTATATGGTTTATATTATATGTAATGTTTTTAACTATATTCTACGTTGTTTGGGGGCATTGACTGCTGACAGTAAACTGCCTCAGGTCGCCTCTAGGTTGAGAGGGGCGGTAGACAAATATCGTAAATAGTAAATAAATAAATAAATTTCCATTTCCAGCATGACCCATGAAGGGAATGTGAGTAAATCTTGGAGGTAAAAAAAGGTTTTGGCCATTCATCCTTGACCTTTTGCTTCTTTCTTGACCAGGGAAATGAGGATTTTGTGGAACCTCCTCCTGGGCGCAGAAAGGAAACCAGGAGCATAGGAAGAAGAAGAAGAAGTCCTCTCAAGGTGATGATCTTGCTGAATTCCTGACCTTACTTACAGATAAGAAAGCAAAAACAAAGAGTCAAGTATCTGTGTTGCAATTAGACACTCTCGTCACTGTTAACATGAAGGAGAAAGCATCTAAATGCCTGGCGTGTGGCAAGAGCTTCACTCGGAGGGTTCATCTGCAGCAACACGAGAGGACTCACACTGGGGAGAAGCCTTACGAATGCCTGGAGTGCGGAAAGAGCTTTGCGCAGAGTGGAGACTTACATAGACACCAAAGGACTCACACTGGGGAGAAACCTTATAAATGCCTGGAGTGCGGAAAGAGCTTCAGTGAGAATGGAACTCTACGTTTACATCAAAGGACTCACACTGGGGAGAAGCCCTATACATGCCTGGAGTGCGGGCAGAGCTTCACTAGTAGTTCAGGTCTACGTGCACATCAAAGGTCTCACTCTGGGGAGAAACCCTATACATGCCTGGAGTGTGGCCAGAGCTTCACTGAGAGTGGAGGCCTACATTCACATCAAAGGACTCATACTGGGGAGAAACCCTATAAATGCCAGGAGTGTGGAATGAGCTTCACTCAGAGTACAAATCTACGTTCCCATCAAAGGACTCACACTGGGGAGAAGCCCTACACATGCTCGGAATGTGGACAGAGCTTCACTCAGAGAGTTCATCTACACAGACATCAAAGGACTCACACCGGAGAGAAACCCTATAAATGCCTGGAGTGTGGACAGTGCTTCACTGTGAGTGGAAGTCTACGTAGACATCAGAGGATTCACACTAGAGAGAAACTCTCTGAACATATGTAGTGTGGAAAGAGCCTGGAGAGTTGGAATCTACATAGACATAGAATTCACATTGGGGAGAACAGTGGTATTTGACCCCAGGCTCTCCAAGACAGAGCTTTCCAAGATTGACGTGTTGGAGACGTACTTTTTAGACACATGGTAATTCAATTTAACTAGCAAACCGGAGGTTAAACTAACCCCATATACAATTCTCCATATGTATAATGTAATATAATAATATATAGAGATAAGTTTCATATAACCTTTACTGTATAAACAATTATTGTGTAGTTTCCTCTATGGGCCGCCTGGTGGCGCAGTGGATCCACTCAGTGATGTGGCGGCAAAAAAAACAACAACCAGTGTGATGTTGGCCTGCATCAAGAGGAGCCTAGTGTCTAGATCCAGGGAAGTCATGCTCCCCATGCTCTCTTCTGCCTTGGTCAGACCACACCTGGAATATTGTGTCCAATTCTGGGCACCACAATTCAAGAGAGAGATTGACAAGCTGGAATGTGTCCAGAGGAGGGCGACTAAAATGATCAAGGGTCTGGAGAACAAGCCCTATGAGGAGCGGCTGAAGGAGCTGGGCATGTTTGGCATGAAGAGAAGGCTGAGAGGAGACATGATGAATGCCATGAATAAATATGTGAGAGGAAGCCACAGGGAGGAGGAGGGAGCAAGCTTGTTTTCTGCTTCCTTGGAGACTAGGATGCAAGGGAACAATGGCTTCAAACTACAAGAAAGGAGATTCCACCTGAACATGAGGAAGAACTTCCTGACTGGGAGAGCCGTTCAGCAGTGGAACTCTCTGCCCCGGAGGGAGTGTGGTGGAGGCTCCTTCTTTGGAAGCTTTTAAAGAGAGGCTGGATGGCCATCTGCCAGAGGTGCTTTGAATGCAATATTCCTGCTTCTTGGCAGAATGGGGTTGGACTAAATGATGGCCCAGGAGGTCTCTTCCAACTCTAGGATTCTATGAGTCTTTGTTCAGCAGTGGAACTCTCTGCCCCGGAGTGAGTGTGGTGGAGGCTCCTTCTTTGGATGGCCCAGGAGGTCTCTTCCAACTCTGATTCTAGGATTCTATGAGCGGAGGGGAAATGAAACCCCGGAAGGAATCCATAACTTCAGTGGGGAGAGCTGAAGGGAGGAAAAGGCAAGCCGGTGCCGTGAAGTGTCAGTGAAGAAAAGAAAGATACGTTGCAGTGAAATCAGTTTAAAACCAGTCTGGAGGAAGTAAAAGCCATACTGAGAGTTATATTGGAAACTGTTTAATTAAGGTCAACTGTAACAACATGTAAAGGAATGCAGAATAACCACCAAACGTGGTACCCTTGTGAGTCCTTGAATAAATATTTCCTTGATCAGTTCTTTATAATTAAAGACTCATGTCCATTTATTGAAAAGAAGATTTACCTCAGAAGGTTAGCAGTAGACAATGGATGTGGGCGAAGGTACTGCAGATCCCATTCTCCATGGTCCATCCTCCCCCAAACCTCATTGTAAAGTGGGTCACGGGGTGTGTGTGTGTTTGTGTCCCAAGTTAGGTCCAGCTCCATCAGTGGTGGGGGTGGGAGCCAATAGTATTTTGGAAACATACAGGTCTCCACATATACACATACAGACAAACATCAATGTCTATCACTACATACAAATATTGACATTTATTACTATACTACCTTGGGGACGGGCAATGCCCGGGATATTTGAAAAAGACATTGTTTTTGTTTGGATGTTAGATAATATCAGTTTGGTAATCTGTCAACTCCCACATGGGTGGGTCAGTCCCCCAAACCCCTCCAGTATGTTCTCTTGGCCCTGGGAGTTTTGTGTGCTAAGTTTGGTCCTGATTTGTCATTGGTGGGATTCAGGGTTCTCTCTGAATGCAGGGTAAACTACAACTCCCACGTGGGTGGAGTAGTCCCCCTACAAACCCCTACAGTATGTTCTATTGGTCCTGGGAGCTCTGTGTGCCATGTCTGGTCAAGATACATCACTTGAGGCCTTCAGAGTGCTCTCTGGATGCAGGGGGAACTACAACTCCCACTTGGGCGGGTCAGTCTCCCCACAAACGCTTCCAGTATGTTCTATTGGTCCTGGGGGCTCTGTGTACCATTTTTGGTACTGGTCCATTGTTGGTGGGCTTCAAAGTGAATTCTGGATGCAGGGTGAACTACAACTCCCACACGAGTGGGTCAGCCCCCCTGTGATGTCTCGGCCTGTTTATTTATTTATTTATTTATTTATTTGCTTTATTTTTATACCGCATTTTTCAGCCTAATTCGGCGACTCAATGCGGTTTACAATGCAATTTATATAACAGTAACAATTAGTTAAAACACAACATACACGACAGACAATACAAGACAACACAACATAGTCATCAACGCCTCAGTAAAAATCAGATTCCGTTCTCATAATCCTTCTACCATTCCTTTGTTCATTTATACCGTCTTCATGAGTTCAGTTGCCTTGTTGACCGAACGCCTGTTCATAGAGCCACGTCTTGACCTTCCTCCGGAACTCCAGCAACGAAGGGGCCTGCCTGATGTCTACGGGTAGGGCGTTCCATAGCCGAGGGGCCACCACCGAGAAGGCCCTGTCCCTCGTCCCCGCCAGCCGCGCCTGCGACGCAGGCAGGACCGAGAGCAGGGCCTCCCCGGACGATCTTAACGTCCTCGTCGGTTCATAGGTGGAGATGCGTTCGGAGAGGTAAGCAGGGCCAGAACCGTTTAGGACTTTATAGGCTAAAGCCAGCACCTTGAATTGTGCCCGGTAGCGATTGGCAGCCAGTGGAGCTGGCTCAGCAGAGGAGTGGTATGCTCCCTGAGTGCCGCTCCCGTTAGTAACCTGGCCACCGAACGCTGGACCATCTGAAGCTTCCGGGCAGTCTTCAAGGGCAACCCCACGTAGAGTGTTTATTTCCTTGTTGCCTGTTGGACTGTTCCATTCTGTTAAGTTTTAGAGTAGGAGCTTAGGCTCCCCCTATAGGCCGAGCTCTTTGGTTCAGCCCATTCTGCCTCTTGAGAGCCTGGTGAAAGAAGACTTTTTGGCTCCATTCCTTTTGGTCATAGTTTATAGATAGTTGCCAGAAAAGTGTCTGGCCTGGCTTGCAGTCCGTACAGGCCATCCTTATCACATATTTGCTTATAGATAGATAGTTATAGATAGATAGTTCATAGATAATATATATTTGCCATATATTTGCCTTATAGATAGATAGTTCAGATATACATGCCCCATAGATTATAGATTATAGTAAATGTTATATAGAATAGATAGTACATGCCATAGAGTATTTACCTCATAGAAATTATAGTTGTTTTTTACCTCAGAGTTATACCATCATAATCAATCTACACCTTTGTACATTGTTGTAATTCATCTTGATTATTTAGTAAACAATTGTTGAATTTAGTCTTGTCTCTAGTGTTTATTTTTGGGGGCATTAAAGTAATTTAGGGCATACCGATGGTCACTGGGAAAATAGCCAGACACATTTAGTTTCTCATTAGATCTTCCTGGTGTGCCATCATAAACCCCAAAACCTTTCCAGTATGTTCTGCTGGTCACTGGGGCTCTTTGACAATTTTGGTCTAGCTCTATCATTCGTGGGGGTCACAGTGCTTAGTAAAAGCAGATGAGGGTACTGCCAATCTCATCATCCGTGGCCATCCCCTCCAGAATTGCAGCAGGATGTAAAGTGGGTCACAGGGTGTCTGTGTGTCAAGTTTGTTCCAGATCCAACATTCGTGACGTTGCAGTGGTTGTTTGAAGTCGGATCCAAAGAAGGTGAAAGTACTGCATATCTGATCAACTGTGGTCCATCCTCCCCAAAACCACACCAGGATGTAAAGTGGAGCATTGGGGGGGGGGGGGGGGGGGGGGGGGGGGGGGGGGGGGGGGGGGGGGTTGTGTGCCAAGTTTGGTCCAGGTCCACCATTTGTGGGGGTCGCAGTGGTCTGTGGGAGCCAAATCGGGTGAAGGTACTGCAGATGCCATTATCCATGTTCTGTCCTCCCCCAAACTGCACCAGGATATAAAATGGGTCATGGGGGGGGGGGTGGCCTGTGTGCCAGGTTCATCATTTGTGGGGGTCGCATACAAACACTGACTTTTATTATAGATTGATATAAACAATCCTAAAATTGTACAGCTCAGCAAGTGGCTCCCACAACAAACTACAAAAATAAATGAGAAAAAAACACACAGCAATAAAACACTCCTGTATAATACACAAAGTACACAAACAAATAAGCAAAAACAGTTGGGTCCAAATCTAAGAACTTCACATAGAATTGGTTGTCTCTCTTACTGTTCTGCTCCCCTTAGACAATTCTATGCAAATACCCTTCGGCTTTTAGCAAAACTCTTTGAATTCATAAATCCGTCAACTAACATTTGTAATCCCTTCTGTTGAAAAGCGTGATAAGGAAGTCCCGCCTTCTCTCTTGAAGGTGGTGACCAAAGAGTTCTCTTTCATCGTCACTTTGTCCATCTCTGATCATTTGTGGATGTTCATCAGTCACTCTTCCTGTCCGGGGTAACGACTTCCTCCCATCTCTGAGGATCAATGAGGACAAATTGTCACATATTCTAGGCATCTTCCCAATTTTGTGTCTGGATGACGGTCCAGCATCCCTACGATTAACCCCCCCCCCCCCGATATCACTGCAAGTGTCACTGACCCTTTGACCCTTTTTGTCCAGCATGCGAGTCCAGTATTTCAGGGCCTTTCTGCCCAACGTCCTGCTCTTTTTCCAACATTAATGACCAGAGCTCTCTAAATGGTGGGCCATGACATAGGAGTGCGTCAGCTGTAGTGTGCACAAACGTGTCACGTGAAAAATGCTCCCTCCCTGCCCCCACTTGAAAAGACACCCTAAGGGCATCAAGTCCAACCCCTTCAACCAGCCCGGAAAACACAGTCAAAGCGCCACCGGAATGCCGTCCAGCCATCCTCTCTTTAAAGACATCCACAGAAGGGGAGAGATGATGTGTCCAGGTGCAAGCTCCGTTGTGAAATGTTGTTATTTGCACAATTTGTTAAGTTGTAGTAATTACCACTACAATGGATGTCTCTAATAATGTCTGTTAATAATCATGTTTGTGATTAACCATAAGGAGCAGCTATAGAAGAAACTACACAAACATTGTTTATACATATGCAATGTATATCTCTATATTATATTGTGGCAAGTTCTTGGTGGGATGGGCATCCCAAGCCCCCTTCCCTCTCTCCTGAGGAGTCTGTACAAGGACCAAGGAGCCACAGTCAGAACTGACCACGGAACAGGAGACGGGTTCAAGATTGGGAAAGGCGTACGGCAAGGCTGCATCCTCT